GGTTCTGACGTCACCAGCAAAGCCAGATGAACCGAGGCACAACTCTGCAGGAATTTTCGAAGCCTCGCAAAAAAAAATTATTTCAAAATGCACCGCAGCATCGCCGGTGCTGTTCGTCCAGAATTCATTCTTCTTCGTACAATACAAATATTTTGTCGGTGCAAAACAAACACCGATGAACGGTTTCATCGGCATTCTTCATCGTCCAGCGCAGAATCAGGTTGCCGTACTTTTACTCTGGACACTTGCCTGATAACTTTTTACCGCTGGCAAGTGGAAGCTGGTTTCTCACGACATTAGTCACACTGCTGACGTCTGTATGTCGAACGATGAGGCACGATTGTCAATATATCAGTTTGATGATGTGCAGATCTCGAGGCTGCGTTGAGCCTCTGTTAGAGATGAGCGTACGTTCATGGACAAATAATGAGCTCTGCATTTTTTTTGTTTTGAAAGTTGCCCGACCACTCGTAGCAAACTCCCAAATCAGGCCACTTCAGATTTACCTTCATTTTTCTATCGCTTCGAATTGATTGTGCCCGATGTTGATCACGCTGACAGAGAAAACTCCTCTGGCATCACACGGTCGATAACATCAATGCCGAAGTCGTCAAGGTAGCAACATGAGGAAAAACTTTTTGAGGAATGAACGCAATCGGTACCAAAAATTAACTCGTACAAGTTACTAGTCGCGCATCCTTCCCAAAGGCGGATTTTCTTACTCAGGTGACGTATGTGTTCCGGACCGTCACTGCCTCGTTAGCAGACCGTTTGAAACTTTATGACAGTGGCTACCGCATCTACTCTACTCCCCAGCACCTACTTTCTCTCGGCTGGCATACAATGCAGTGCACTGGTGTCTGTCTATTCTCTGTGACCTGAACGCAATATTGGGTTGATGGACAGCAGCGATTACAGTGCCATGAACGTCCTCTTCTGTGCAGATGGTAGGCTGCTCCATGCATTGTTTCACAACGCTTTAACGTGGCCAAAGCTGCATCAGCGTACAGGTGTTTCTGAATGTCGACCCATCAAGTAGTACGCGGGTCTTCATCTTGGACCTGTTAAGTATTTAAATACTGCCTGATGCAGTAATTTGATATTATTGTTTAAGAGGTAGACAAAATGTTATATTTTATGCTCTCCTAGTCGGACTGGGCATGTGGTGGTCTAAATTGTCACAGAAGAAACTGCAGGAACTTTTGTCAGAGAGTTTGAACACTAATCTGTAAAAACATTTTTGGCCTTTTACAGACTTACTTTATGCTTCTTCTAAGGCAGTATGTTTTTTGACCTAATAACATGTAATAATCTCAGCTTATAGGCTGCAACAGTGTGAAAATAATGAGGATTTGTACGCTCCTAGATCTCAGTAGGATATATATATATACACCACATCTATGGATTACAGTTTTTTAGTAAAACAAAGGTGCAGAGCATCTCTGTTTAAAATGAGCCGTTTCTAGGCTAAATTGTGTCAATAAATGCCACCTTGTACTTCGAACATGTCGTGACTTCAGCAGTTACGTTTAATTCAACATCATCATCAGCCAGTTTTAGTCCACTGCTGGCTGAAGAATTCTCTA